GGAGAGCGTAGGGCCGTTGAATCAGGTAAGCACGTAACGTATCTCTGGAACCTTTCTTTTTTTTTTTTTGGAGAATCTCTGAACCGTGTGCTGACACTATCGGACCGAAGAAACCGCCCTTATCAACGGCCAACATGAATCCGGAAGCGGGGCGACATGCACAAAGGACAAAAAATATGTCGGTGTATCTTTCCATGTTCTGGCGGAAGATTCATTCCCATTTTGCTCATACGTTGAGCGTAGGGCTGTTGAAACAGGTAAGCACGTAACGTATCTCTGGAACCTTTCTTTTTTTTGGGGGGGGAGAATCTCTGAACAAATGAGATTGAATCCTCCGCTTGAATATGGAAAGATACATTGCCATAAGAAGAGAGTTCCTGATTGAATCCTCCATGTGTGTCTTGTGTGCATGTCGAGAGTAGTGCAGCGAGCCTGTTGGTGAACACTACCGTTGAGGTTCTGACAGGTTGGACGCGCCGGGCTTCGCTCGTGCAGAGAAATTCTGATTTTCTTCCTTACGTTTTTTTCTTTTTATTAAAAAAAAAAAAACTCCAGGAAAAACGGCTGTCAGTTCCGTCATTTTCTACTTCAGAAGTAATAAGAAGAGAACGTTTTGAGAGATCGCGACCCTCGTCATGACTGAATCTGGCCTGAAGAACCCTACCATACAGACTGCAAGAACCCTACCGTGCACACAGAGTGTTACGCGGACTACAGGTTACTACAAGCTTTCAGGCTAACGCGTGGCCTCCAAAAAAAATTTGGCTGCCCGTTTCTTATTTTATGCGAGCAGGGGGCCGGGTCTACTACGGCCCTCACAACTTCTTTTTTTTTTTTTTTCGACCCCCATTTTTGGAGGTGCGCCGCATGCAGTGCGCGTGCGTCGTGCGGGATGCGCGGTGCGGTAAATGAGGCCTACCGGACCCTATTTTGAACCGACGGTTCCTAGGCCTACCTGGACCTAGCTGGGACCGTCGTGACCTGGTACCTAGGCCTAAACTGTGCCTATTACAGAACCGGGCCCTAACTGGGGCCCGTGTAGTATCAATATGCCACACCTTGCCTCGCAACAATCAATACAACATCAATATTACTTCTCTGCTCTCGCTAATCTGTCTACCGGCCTATGTGATCCTCTACTCTATCAATCAACTACCCTGCCTGCACTAAGCCAATGTACCCGGGGCTCCCAACCTGACGGAAGAATGTACTACGCCGGAGCTCTTCTCGGCGACCACCAGGTGCACCCCCCTCCAACTCTTCTCTCTCTCTCTAATGCCTTCCCCTTCCTCCAAGGACCCGCCCTCCTTGCACCACCTTCCTCCTCAGCCTCAGTGCCCAAACACTATGGTGCGGGGCTTTGTCCCAGCACCTATGGCCACCTTCTTCTGCTGAATACAACGTATGGCCATTATAGCCGTATTTGGGGTATCTTCCAGTCTAAATGCAGCGCTAATGACCGTACGTTGTATTTGGGGGAAGAAGGGAAAAACAAGGGGGTTCCCTCCCTGCTACCTTCTTCCCCCGAATACAACGTACGGTCATTATTTTGGATATCTTTCAGTCTTAAGTGCAGCTATAATGACCATACGTTGTATTTGGGGGAAGAAGGTAGCACTGCTCAACTAGCTCCTGTGCAACCTTGCGCCGGCCTGCCTTTCCAATGTGTACTATCATGTCCCGGCCTCTCCTATGTTTCCTTGGCTGGGGTCCCTCCCGGACAGGTTCAGCTCTTTCCGGACTCTTCCGGACAGAGGCCAGTATCCCAACTGTATGGTACCGACATGGGCCTGGCCCCTTTTTCACCTCAGCATGGGCCACTTCACGCTTTTCCCAGACTTTGCCGGGTCACACCCGAAGTTGGGCCTACAAGCCTTCAGTGCCAACAGCCGCTTGGGCCTTGCAAATCCAATAGAGAGGCTCCATACACTTTCACAATGCCTTGAGAAAAGAAAAAAAAATTCTTTCACAATGCCTGGCTCAGGTCTCTGCGAAAAAGGTCTGTCAAACCTAATACAACGGGGATCCGTCAGGGTTCTACAAGTCGGGAGGGGGTAGAAAAGATGGCCGGGGCATCAGATCCCTGCAATAGCCGGTAGGTGCTGGTAGGCTACGACTTGTGATAGCATAATGGATAGATATTAGATAATGTACCAACGTGCCCAGCTCACTTGGTTCACCCATGAAACTGTTGAAATATAGACGTAAGTTCGAATCCAGATACGACTGGATGAAAAGAATAAAGCCATTGTGAATTATATGGGGCCGGTCAGTATCAATGAGTGAGATCTCGAGGCTGTCACCCTATTAAAAAAAAAGGAAGATAATGTGGTAATCCTCAGAGGTAGACCAAGGGGCATGACGAACCACCTGGATCACCAAATGCCTGAGTCCTGAGAGACCGTCGAAGTCTCTATCTGACCTCTACAACAACCTGGGCGACATGGGCGGTTAAAAAAAAAAAAAAAAGTTTTTCAATTTTCCCTGGTACAGGGGTAGCCCCTAAACCTTATTGTATCCAGGTGATTCCAACAGACAGTGGCATCCGTGCCACTCAGCCACACGGGCCCAGAACCATGCATATAATTTTGAAGGCTATTTTGAACAATTATATTAATATGTTTACAGAAGCATGGTCGTTGCGCAGCACATGACACTCGTGCGGCTAGCGTCGGCCTCTTTGCTCAGGCTTGCTGTCGATTCGGTTCTTGGAGTGTAGAGGTATGCTCCCGAGATTCTGCACTTGACTATTTGCACTAAGCAGACAGCATGAGTTCGAATGTGTCTCTGGCACTGTTGAATGATGTTTGGCCCTACAAATCGGCAAGGAAACATGCTGCTGCTGCAGCGATCATCAGCACAGCTCTAACAGAGCAGTTGTTTGATTTGTCCACAGGTACCGGAAACTGAGGGTGGGAATGCAGAGTACTGTTCGTCCTCTGCAGGGCCAGCCAATTGCTTGGAAGGAACACATCAATGGGGTGAAAGAGGATGGAGCAACAGGGGTGGAGGCTCAGACCAGGGGGGCAGTGGTGGTAGCTCATCGCCATCAATGAGGAGGAGGGGCTGGGGAAGTAAGCATCACGAAAGTGGGGGTTCCAAAAGGGCTGGCGCAGGAAATGGTGGTGGTGATGAGAATGAGGATGTGGATGGAGATGCAGCTGTGCCGAGTGTTAATACTAGGGCCTCCATGGCAGCTCCAGTGATGGGGGGAATGGCAGGTGTCTTCAAAATGCGGCTGATTCAACACGACACTTCAATGTTTCTGGTTATGGACGATGGCGTAGTAGCTGAGCGCTACTTCAATGGAGAAAGCTGGGTCTGGATAAATCATGAAAACAGGTAAACGCAGAGAAAGGAATGTCATGACCTCGCTTCTATCACACGGATTATATTATTTATACATGTACAAAATGTACCATATCGCTGGCACACAACGAGCCCCCCTCCCCCCC